TCCTTAATGATAATTTCTTCACCCTGTCTAGCTGAAGGCTCTTCTTCATCCTCTTCTTCTGGGAACACAGGAGGATTACCATAAAGTTCCATCTCCCTCTTCAGTTTGTCTGCACAGGCCTGGAGACATAAGCAACCGACTATGTAAGGTGCTAAACGCAATACATTTGAACTCAAACAATAACTGCATTTGTCGAAAACGGTCACAAAATGGAATCAAGCCACAGTAAGAAAACAAAAAGGAAACCCTTACTTTAATTGGCATTCCTGTGCAATGCAGCCCAAAGGGAAACAGGCACTGCTTTCCCTTCAGTCGCTGGTATCCAACTGCAAACTGCATACAGAAACACAGAGGTCACTTTCTTCCAGTACAGTACATTCACTAGTAAAACAACACAGATATGGGGACTGATTTATACTTCACTTGGGGACTAGCCTCACTGCATCAATCTCTGATCTTTTTTATCCTAAATTGCTGTAAATTTTATTCCAGATCCATTTTATATTCATTAAATAAAAACACTCAAATATACTCACCTGGAAGTAAACGTACTGTACATAGACATGGGATGCCAAGACATGCTGATATTAACTAATCTTACCTCACATTTGGAAAGGGAAAATGTGTGTCCAAGATGCAGCCTGCCATTCATGTATGGGTAGGGAAAGGTAACAAAAAACTTCTTTTTGCTAGGAAAGATAAAAACAAAACTTATTGTTAAAGAGATAGATACTTTATTGATCCCGTGAGGGAATCTGCAGTGCAACAGCAGCTTAATACAGACAACACAGCAACAGTGGAACGAATGATACAATAATAATAAAACAATACATACAATACAATCAGTACAGTGAGACATGCACTAAGAATAGTTACTCACAGTCCAGAACACACAAAGAACAAACCAGAACAGAACACAAAAAAAGGAGTTTTCATTAATATAAAGTATATTGAAGTATAAGATATTGATGCTTGGTCACAAAAATCCCAAGGGTAAAGAAAACTACTTTAATGCAAAATTAACCTGTCTTGGAATTAGCTGGATAAAGCTGTACAATACAATTACAGTTTCAAACAAAATGAAATGTGCTCATGCTTGGTTTTAAAAACTAATGCTACTTAGTTACATAATGCTGAAATAACATTCTATTTCTTACTATGAAGCAGTTTGATTAAAGATTTAAATGATTTCTTTCTCAATGACTCCATTTTGAGTGCAATGTAACTGAATTTCACTGGTTTTCAAAGTCACCAAAAACGCACAATACAGTCTTCAAAACTTACCTTTCATTTCCATCATCACAGTCAGGGGCGTCAGCTTCAAAAGCTTTTTCCTTGTCCCATTTCTGCTGGATTTCTTTCTCAATCTTTCTGAGAAAGTCTAGTTTTGCAGTTCCCTTTCGTTCCTGGAGAAGAACACACAGTTAGTAAATGGATTCAAATTCAAGGAATGAAGGAACGAGCAAGAGCTTTTTCTAGAGAGGTTGTGAACATGAGAGAGGTTGTGAACAAAATGAGGCCAATCTAGCCTGCATGGCACTTGGGAGCTAATTGATCACAGGCTATCTTCCAGTTATTTCTCGATAGAAGCCAGTATATCAGCTTCATCAACATGGCTGGGTAGCGTGTTCCACACTCCCACAAGCCTGTGTGTGTAAAAAAGTGCCTTCTGCTCTCAGTTTTAAAAGCCTTTCTCTTTTTTTAGACATGTAGCTATGAAACAACAAAATTACACACGAGTGGAAAAATTCAACCTCTTTTTAGCCAGATCTGGCTAAGTCATTCATCATCTTGCTCAAATAACTGCAATCCTGTTTTTAATTGTTTTGTTACCAAGAGATATATGCACCAACTTTAAATATCAAAGATTTTTTTATCAAAAAATCTTCACATTACATTACAGTTCGCAGCTCTTATATTACTTAAGAGTAATCAATAAACTTTGCAAAATCAGTCTAATACTACCTTTCAATTTAAAAGAAAAATACATTGGAGTATTTAGGCAGCTGCGTTTATTGTTGTCCTTAAAATTAGAGTCATATATAATTTTGCTATATATGTTTTGTTGCAGTTGTTAGCATGGAGCATAATTTAAAACATGAAACACAATTGCTTCCGAATATTTTTAGGATTCGAGTAAACGTTCCAAAATAATTGCGACATGCAAAATTATGTTAATATATGTTTAATATATTAAAGTTACAGTATAATTTTCTAATACAACCCTCTGTTTTATATTTGATGTACAATTATTAAATGTTTCATGCACCGTGATTTGCATTTACTTTTCCTATAATATGCTGTTAGGTTTGCATTACTCAAACTTTAACAATCACAATCTTAGGCTGAATTAAAATTATATTATATCCCAATGACATATCATGACTTCACACAAGACATCTTGCTATGCAGTTTCTAGTTTTGCGAATCAGCTATAACGTGTAAGCCCTAAGATATGACATAAACCGGAAATTTACATCAATACCAATTATAAATACCAAGCTAAAATGGACCTTACCGTCATTCTTATATCTCCGTTTGCTTTTTTCTAAATTCGAGTCACTCCGGTTTGTCTCAAAAACGTGAAATATCCACACCAGTGGCTTGACTTGGAAGTAGCTCCTTCTGATGACATAAAAAAAACGAAGAAGTCAATGTGACTCGCTTTGCATTTCGGAAGTTGTAGTATGCAATTCGTCAAAACCCTGGCAAGTAAGACCAACCGTACACTAAATCCCAAACACCATTGCGAACCTCTTCGCACCTGGCGTGGTGGGTTTGTCGCAAGGCATTTTGGGAGCCGTGGTTTTCTTTTCTTTTCCGTTTCATGCTTAAATTATTTTTGAAAAGCACGCGTTTAAAAGAGCAGAGTGGTAAATCAGATTATGAAACTAGACTAATTAGACAGTAATATGAAGTCAAATGCTTGAAATCCGGGTGAAATTACAGTGAAATAGTTGCATGCAACCATTCAGTGTTGCATCAGTCTAGAGCACGCTTGCTGAGGTACGTCACAGTCTGCGACTCTTCGTAAAATAGCCAAAGGCAAAGGTTTTATTACTGTACATTAGATCACGTGTCAATCCATCTGTGAATCAATTAAACATACTGTCCCGATGACTGGCACCCTTTATATTCCTCTCCCTAGCATTCATTTGTGGGTAGTTGTCATGATCTTTAAGAATTTTATAATAATTATGATTCCTTACACTTATACAGTGTTGTTCTGGACACTTAACTAAAAGCGCTTTACAGGTAAAGATTACTCCCCTCCACCACCACCAATTTTATTTCCAGAAACCATTATGCTAAACATAATTCTGTTATTAAATGCAGAGCTACAGATGTAACTCTAGAACATTTAATGAATGTAAAGCATTGTGAAAAATTAAGTGATGTAGCACCGGCAAAGTTCATATTCTTGATGAAGAAACGTAAAGATGAAGAAAGTCAATGACATGTGACTTATTTGAGCATTCATTAATAAACCTTTCTTCACTGTTAGATAAGCACACCTTTTCTTTAGTACAATATTGTAGAATTGATTGTAGAAAAACTTACAGAATCTGACGAAATAATACATGTTGACATGAAATTAGGATTGCAGTGTGTATTTCTACTTGGGGTTTTCTTTCGAAACAAAACCAAGATGTTGTTTGAAACAGTTGGTCTATTCTGCCAACTCTCTAAAGTATGGCAAACAACGACTTTGAAGAATCAGAGGTTTCAAAGTTAAGAAGAAAAATAAACGATAAAACTGGGTGAAGGATATGAGTGAGGATCTGCGCCAGTGTGCATAGTCTGCAAAAAAGGTTAACGTTAAATCCACATATAAAAGGAGAAAGAAAAGACACAAAGTTTCGGTTATTATGCCTTCTTCAGCTATGTGATGAAGGATTAGCATCTGAAATGTTGGATCTTTTCTTTCTACGTTTCAGGTAGGAATTAACATTTAAAGGCAAAAGATGACATGGAAAACGAAAAGCTGTAGTTCAGGGGCTTGTTTTGACCTACGTTTCTTTAAATTAATGTCACCTTTCTGGTACTGTCTGAATCCTGTCAGGCTGACATTAGTGTCACACATCTGAATATTTGATTTTCTCGGTTGGGGTTTCTATCGACCATACACTGACCTGTTAAGAGTATAAACCGAGGCCCTGTTTGTATGAAAGATTTGCAAGGTGCGTAGTTTTTAATTGCTAGCCCAGAACGAATAAGGTGGGTAGAGAAAATAGCATTTCTACAGAACAAGCTGTGAGCCTTTAAACTAATTTCCTAAATAAAGGTGTCGAGTGTGAAACCATTACTAACTGTACAACTAATTAGAAGTAAAGACGCTGGGATTTAACTGGAGAGCCTGTACATATGGTTAAAAAATAAAGCATCGAAACAAAATATTTACATGAAAAATTTGAAACAGCTATCAAGCTATGATTAAACGATACACATTTGCTACTATCACCAAGCCAAAACCACGGCATGTACAGCTACAGTAATACTTTTTAACTACGTTGACGTTAGTTAAACTAAGTCCCTCCTTCTCTCACCGCACAGATTGGCTATTTTGCCATAATCCCCTGAAACGAAGCTCTGATTGGACGCTCTTAACGCCTGTCATCCTAGAATACTAGGTTAACCGTAAAGCAGTTTGTCCGATCTGCAAGTTGCTAGTATTAGGCCTACAGCTGCGTCTACGATTTATACATTTTTGACGATGAAAGTGGAAGTAGTACAACATATCGTTTATTTATAGTTAGTATTAGTGCATTTTATGAAAATGATCATTGAGAATGTGGAAGCTTTGAAGTCGTGGCTGGCCAAACTCCTGGAGCCAATGTAAGTGAGAAATGAAATTACATTTGAATTTTAAGTGGCAACGTCTTTTTTGAATGTATACTGATTTTTAATCTGTTTGGTGGATGTTTAGGTACTTGGAGAGTTTAGAAAATTACTGTTAATAGTATTGCTTTCGAGGTAGCCTGGTGTTTAATGTGCTACAGTTGGCGAGGTGGTAGTCCTGTTCAGTACTTGAACTGCAGCGTAGAGAGATGTACGGTCTTGCTGCTGCAGAATGGTTAGGCCAACGATTATTGCCTAGTGTGGAAAGTTGTCTTAGTTTTTTATATATTTTAAAACCTCACTGATTACAAAACGGCAGACACTTGCTGGTATTTTATACCTAATATTTCATTCTCAGTCTTTGCACATCCATTTTTAGAATAACTTAGGTCTGGAAGATCTACTAGGCCACCTTGTTGCTTCTCATCTTTGAGATATTGTCTCACAGTTCTTGAATACTATTCTTTTGATGTTGTACTTGACGTTAGCGGCCAGGGATTCAATACTTACTTGATTTGACGTTAGGGGAAGTCATGACTGTGTGAAGTAGGTTCACAAATACTGTACTAAATAGTATCTCTACAGAAATGTGTTTTTTTTTCTCAAATTTACAAAAAGTAGAATCGAATCACTCTTAAAATTACACTACTATACAAGTAATGGGTTTTCAGTGATGTGCATTTAAGTTTCTAGCAATAAAACATTTCATTTCAGTATTAATGTATTCTCTAAGCCTTAATTGCAAATTTAGAAGTGGTTTTATTGAGTTTCCAAGCAGTGGAAGCCATAGTGATTGTAAGCATTTTTTCTTTATGCTTTTGAAATCTGTTGTGATAGAATTGCAAAAGTGGGTAAGGCTAGGTGAGCTGAGCAAAATTTAATTTTAGGCAGGAATAAAGGAAGGGCTGAAACTCAGCAATTGATCACATGCAGCTGGGTAGTTGCTACAATAATTATCTCTTTGCCTGAATGCATATTCATATTAAAACAAAAGTTAAAAATATTCACCTGCAGGGGGACCACATTACCCATGAAACATATGGCTTCGAACAAGATACAGGTGAAATGTAATGCAATGCTATTGGTGTCATTGGTAGTATCTTCTTTTTGAACATTGTACATGCCAAATGCAATGGATTAATACATCATGGGCCTTGTATTTCTATGAGGTATTGTGGTAACAACACAAAATTCTAAAAGCAACACAACACTCCAAATACAACCAGTGTGTTGATTTCATCTTCATTACCTTGAATACCCTCCTTTTGCTTAATTGTGTTGTAAATATGGGAGGACTTGGGGATGTTATAATTAAGCAAGGTGCTCCAATTCAGCTCCTTTCTGTGGTTTCTTTTAAATGTAAAATTAGTGAGTCTGTATACCTTCCTAAGATTTTTGTGTATTTTGTTTATAGTTTCACTACAAAAGTGAATTATTTCATTCGTCATTATTTGTAGCCTGCTTTGCTTCCACCAAAGTGTTAGTTGTGCTGGAGACACTGGGAATGTTTTTAAGATGACGACAATTCTTTCTTTTCCAGATGTGATGCAGATCCTTCAGCTTTAGCCAACTATGTAGTTGCCTTGGTAAAAAAAGACAAACCTGAGAAGGATCTTAAGGCGCTCTGTGCTGATCAGTTGGATGTGTTCTTACAAAAGGGTAATGGACAAGTTTTTGTCTGAAAATTTCACTTTTTGTTTTATTCTCTACTGAACGTCTAAGAAAATATTTGTGAGCTTTTAGAAAAATCAAGTGCATGGATTTTCGATCTCATGTTTTTCCATATTTTTGATTCATTGATAATCTGTAATATCTGTGATATACTTTGACTTTGGTATGAATTTGACTGTGGTGTAAGCACTAATGTCATCATCAGTGAGAGAGAGAGTGAATAGTGCTCAGGTGATGAGGTAACCTGCCGAATGTCAAACCTCGACAAAGTCAAGTAGAAAGAACGCTGCAATGCAGCAATTTACACTGCTTATAAAGCGACCAATGTCTTCGTGCTTTTGGCTTGTTGGATGCTTACCTAAGTCAAGACATTTATTTCTTGTTCATGGATGGTCACAGATGTAATTTTCTTGCCAAATTGCCGTACAAGGTACCTCACCCTTGATGCAGGATACCTATTGATGCTTAATGGTAATTTTTTAGATATTAGTTAACGCATACTGCTTACTATATTGATGTACCTTTTTTATCTTAATAATCACATTAACATTTTTGACTTTCAGAGACAACTGGTTTTGTAGATAAACTTTTTGAATGCTTAACCACAAAAAACTACTTGGGAAATCAAGAGCCACCAGCTAAGGAGGTTTCAAAGGAGGAGGCAAAGCCTGCCGCTCAGAAAGTTGAAGAAAGCAAGGAAGAGGTAAACACTAGCTTATTAACTTTGTGTGCGTGCAAGATCTTTTTCAAAGATGATTTAACAGTAAGCGTGTCCTTTAAATTGATGGGTTTTTTTAAAATACTATAAGGTGTACACTATAAAATTCATTCACTTTGTTTCTCAGCAGTGTAATGGCGCTCAGTATATATTATAAGGAACAAGTATAGGCTTATTCCGTACTGAAAAGAGAAGAAAAAAAAACAATGTTTTAGCTGTGGAGCCTTCTTTGGGTGTGAAGTTCTTCTTTGGGTTTCTTTTCTTTTCTTTTCAGCATGGAATAAGCCTTTACATGTTCCTTTGCAGCCTACCCATGCTGATACAGCTACCTACTTGAAGTATATATATATATTATAGAGACAATTTTAAAAAATGGACAGAATATTGACATTTTAGTATTTCTCTCCTTCTGCATAGATGAAATGTTTGTGGGACAATGCTAACTCAGTTTGAGTTTTCACAGGCGTAGCAAAAAAGGAAGTGTTGCAAGATCTCATGATGTTTCTCGTCTCTGTAGACTGGAAACGGTGATGAAGAGAGGGAGGGACGAAGGAGGAGGAGCCCTTTGAGAAACAGGTCTGATCTTAATGAATCGAGGCAAGTTTAAACATCTGTTTTTTTTCTTTGGCTGTCTGGTCTTTGCAACGACGGTTGCCTTCCTTGAATGGAACCAGAAATGAGGATTCTACTTACATCCAGGAAAGCTGACATTCATTAAGTAGAAGGTCATATTTCTACTAGCATAATGCTGAATAAATATTTTTAGTCATATGTATTGAATGGTTTATGGTGGATTTTAATGATTTATTAATCGTTTTGCAGCCTAAAATCATTTGTATCTCAGTTTTTCTGTTATAGTTGTCACACGATAAGCATACTTGCTAGATGATGATGATTATATATAGGATCTCAAGTACACTGACCAAAATAATAGGGAACACTCACCATATTTTATGCTGGCCTCCCCCTCCCCCAGTAATATGAACATCTTGTATAGCACTTGACGTGTATTCCACAAGACTCCAACATTTGTGCACTCCAATCCTTCTCTGTTTTTCTACCATGGTAGCCTTAATTTGAAATTATAATACGCGTAAAGCACTGTGGACCAGAACTGTATGATTGATCATCTCTACCACTTTTCTGTATCATTTAGATCTGGCCAGGGAAAATGATGGAAATCTCTTTTTAAGTGTGTCTTGTTCCTAAAATTAGCTATGCATGTTTTTGACGCTGAGCATCTTTTTCATTCAATGGGCATCTTAGCTGTCTTTTCCCTTTAAAGATATTACTTACTAAAATCTTTAGTGCTTTGCCAGTATTATAATTAATCTGTCATGCCAGTAGAACACATTAGGTTGTGAGTTGTGTATATAGTAGAAAATAACTTTGTTTGGATTGTTGTCAGGTTAACCTTTTCCTTCACCAAGCAATTGTTTGCTCCCTCTATCCAGAGTGTTCAGAAATGTTTCAGCTCACTTTTTAAGAGTGTGTAATTGCACTGTTGGCAGCATCTGATTTCAGCACTTCAGCGTCTGGCTTTGGCCTGCCAGTTCAGCGCTCATGGATATCTGGACTACTTAACTGCCGAACATAAAAGGCTGTGTTGAGGTCTGACAGAGGTGGCATTGTGTTGCTCCTTAGAGTTCGTGATGACAAGAGAAGGGACGACCGCAAACGTCGAGATGGTGACCGACACGGTAAGGCCAGCGATCCGTACAGAGAGCGCTACGACCGCCGCGCAGGCACCAACCGGGCCCGGAGCTTCAGCAGGAGCAGGAGTAAGAGCCGCAGCCGCAGTGGCAGTAGAGGGAAGATGGGGGACAAGGACCACAGTCGAGGAAAAGGTAAGCTTCAACATCAAGCTGCGCACACCTGAGGGTCAAGGCCAGGAGTGCACATGTGGAATGGGACATGTTCACATGCAATTCCACCCAAGTAGGCATATATTAGATTTTTCTGAAAGGTAAACCTGTTGAAATCGTTACTGTTGTGACTAGAAAGCACTTAGAATTCTAGGGCTGTTAGTTTCACTGCTCGTGTTCTGTTATTCCATACACTCATTCCCCAGCTACTACATCCTTAACCACTTCCAGGAAACAGACAAGACTGCTCCTGTTTTCTTTGACTTCCATAAGCAGTCCATTTTTTGTTGTTGTTATTTTTCCCCTTGATGACTGTCGCCTTCAACATCTGTTCAGAATCCTTTTCTAGGTTTCATTCCTGCTGCATTTACAGTTTACTGATTTTAAGTTTAAGCAGCTAACATTTTAGCGTTTTGTATAGCTTGCTTAGCCACCAACTGGTAACACAATTATGTGAATTATTGAAAATAAAAATGTAACAAAAAAACAAATGTTCGTAGCTTTGTGCTTGTTATGAGGTAGTCTTTATCTTTTCTGTAATTACACAGTATAGACTTTTTTAACTGCAATATTAATGGCCACATGACTTAAGAATGTCACTATGGAAAATGAATTTGTTACACAGCAAAACGATGAATGAGTTTTTTTTTTAAGTTTTACAATTGTAATTGTTATACTAAGTGACAGTGGGGATTAATCGATTTTTACAAATTTAATAAATAGGGGGAACAAAAAACAAAGCCACAATTTGCATGTTTATATAGCTAACAGGGTATCTTGATTTTGTTTGCCATTCTTTCAAGAAGTGTGAAAAGTGGCGATGTGAACAACAGAACTACATTTTAATAGACATTTTAATAGATGGGGCCGAAAAAGTTCAAAAACTTTAACGAAAGCAATGACAAGACCAATTGTAATAATTAACCTAGCTTTTTCTATCCTTTTGAATTGCAGTTTGCATCGCATAGGAAGCATTTTAACATTTTAAGCAGTACTTGGATTATTCTGTCTTGTACTTGTGTCCTGTATACGTCTTCCCAAAATAATGGGAATGATTAGGAAAGGAATTTTCCAAGCTTTTCAAACTTTACTCTTTTAAACATTATTTTGATCTGTGCTGTCTTTATGTACAACAGTTAGAACCATGAACTGTTAATGTAGGTCCATGAAGTACAAATAGTAAAGCTTCATATACTGCTGTATACTCTTTTTGTAATTTCATACCAGCTTATCACTAATGTCTGATGCCTCTCCCTGTGTTGGTACCAAAGGAAAATTCCTGCTAATATCACGTTAACCCATCTTCCCTTATAAATATTTTGAGATGCGTTGTCCACCTTCCACAGTTGCTTACAAATGCTACGTAACCCATGTTATAGCCATCCTTGGCACCACACCTGTTACAAATCAAGTAAACGAAGATCAATATGATACTGTAGCCTGATATAAGAACATCGTAAAGGTAGCATACAAGAGGAGACCATTCAGCCCGTCTAGTTTGGTTGGTTTGGTAGTAGCTCATTGATCCATGGATTTTTATCAAGCCTTTTTGTGAAATAAACTAGGGTATGTGCTTCAGCAACATGGCTGGGAAGTTTGTTTTAGATTCCTGAAAAAATGCTAAGTATTGCCTGTACTATTTTTAAATTATTTCAGTGTTTATTTTTAAGTGTATCTCCCAATCCTTGTTACATTTTTACCAAGGGTCTATGAATATATATATAGTCAGTGTGTTAAAAAAGCACATTGTACGTATGTATGGAGGTTATTTTCTCTGATGAGACTAACATGTTGATGTCAAAGCTGGTTATTCCTCTGTGAGTGAGGCGTTTAGGTGTTGCACAGGGGCTGCATGTTTACAAAGGAATTGCAACTGGTCTTTTTACAAACGGTACTCTTGCTGTATTTTGTATACCTTCAAGGCTAAACATCTTAGTCAGTTAATATAATTTGCACCGGGAGCGGAACAGTTCAGGAAATGTTTCAGGTTTGAAATGTTTCAGGGGTTTTGCAGAATTTTATTATGGTAGGGTTCTCTGAAGATAAACTGTACTGTAACGTTTTCCACTGTCATTGAATTGTTCGTTGATTTGCCAGTGAAGCTATGGTTTAACTGATATTTAATGGTTTCAATGTTATTTTAATAATATTTTAAAATAACTGATATTTTTTAGTGTGTGAAGAGAATATTCACCTGGATTCAATTGAAGCAAATGCAGGAAAAAGGTTATTGAAGATACTGATAAAATCAATAATTGCCTGACTATTAATTTAAGGAAGCCCAGGTCAAGCACATGGAACTCCATGGAGTAGTAAATGCAGTGCCCTTGAAATAGCTCTGTACGTTCCTCTTTGGACTGTTTGTTTTTTCTGCTGTTGTTCCAAAGAAGACAAAAGGTGTTGCAGAGTCCCATGGGTGTTGAACATCGCATCCTCTTGTTAATCAGACCACAGGTTAAAATTCGAGATGGAGAGGAAGGAGCCAGAAGGTTACCTGCCACCCTCTGTGCCGATGTGCAGCTCCCTCCAGCAGCAGCAGCAACAGCAACAGCAGCAGCAGCAGCAGCAGCAGCATCAGCAGCCACCGCCGCCCCTGCTTCTCCCCCTGCCACCTCCTCCTCCGCAGCAGTACTCCTCGGGGGGCCAGGCCGTGCCCAGCTCCGTTACTGTGGTAGCACCTGCTCACCTCCCTGACAGCACCACCGAGAGCTGGTCTAATTACTACTCCAACCACACCGACTCCAAGCCATTCAACAGGAGCACCGCACTCAAGCGCCGCTGCCGCGACTACGACGGTAAGCACACTGGCCGTGCGGGCCCCCTCCCTCCAGAACTGCTGCTTTCAGAAGGGTGGTGGGATCCAACTCGTGTGCTGTGGGTTGAGTGTAAGGTGTTATCTTATGAGAGTGATTTTTTCTTTTAAACTCTTTTCAAGAGAAAAGGTCAGCTTGATTCCTTGTTTGCACGGGGATTGTTTCTCCTGTGGTGATTAACTGTTTACAATGCTCATCTTTCTGCCTGCATACTGTAGCGAAAATGTTCAGTCTTAAGGGCTTCCCTCCCCTTAACAGTGTCTGTCATTTTAATGAAGTGTGGCGGAAGTCTAAATTCACTGCTGAGACAAGCTTGCATGAGTGAACAGAAGCAGAATTAACAAAATTCACAAAGTGCAATATGCTGCCATTATCACGGTGGAAAAATATTAAAATTCATTTGACAAGACAAAAATAGAAAAAGGTGAAAGTTGTCAGCCCACTGTGAGAGGGCTGGGTGTTAATGAGATAGATTCGCCTTTTTGTTCTGCTTCTGTGAAATAATTGAACTGTTTGTATCTACCGTTGAAACTCGAGCACGTTTTGTTTACAGATATTAATTTTCCGCTTCGTTTAGCTTCATGTAAATTTGCTATACATCTTATCAAGCTCCTAATAAAGCATTAGGACTCTGCAGGATTAATCATCTCTTCATAACAGTCTTTGGCCCCTGTGTGGTCCCACTGGGTACATTAAAACCCAAGTAAAAATAACTCTCAGAGGACAGTTTGTATATTTACCTAGACGCTCTTATTTACTCAAAGGTATTTTTAACCTGCCCTTCTTTGGGGACTGAGCACTCTTAGATGAGCTGTTGTGTGTTTTAGTACAACATGCAGAGGATCTGAGTTTTTAAGCAAAACCCCCAAGGCGAATTTGAAGTGTAGCTCGGGAAAAGTTCCGGTATTATATATCCTTCTCGAGGGCTCATGTACTTCAGAGGTTTCTTGAAAATGAAAGTGCAAATATTAGTGATTAGCCATGAAACATTCATTTACTGTCTTGATGTGAATTCTGTTAATATTTTTGTCTTTAGATTTTGTGGGACATCGCCTGTATTCTCATTTTGTGCGTTTTCACATTCAGCCATGTGTCTGTCCAGCTTTTAATGTTGTGAACTTCATGAATCTCTTTTTCCAGAGAAAGGCTTCTGTGTACGTGGTGACTTGTGTCCCTTTGATCACGGCAATGACCCCTTAATAGTGGATGATGTCACCTTGCCAGCCATGATTCCTTTCCCTCCCCCACCTGGCATGCCTCCCCCCAGGATGGGCATGCCTCCGATGGTGGAGCCGCCTTCTAATATGAGGATACCACCCATGCCTCCTCATGGACAGCCCACACCACCGGGCATGTTCCCAGTGCCAGGTCTGTCTCCTATTAATAGCCATCTGCTCCAGGTCATTTGCTCTGAAACTGAGATGTCTAGATTCTCTATAGTGATGTTATTTTACAGTTGAATTGCATCTCCTTATTATCTCAACCTCTTGGTTATAGAACATCTAAAAACACAAAAATACAAATTAGTGCCAGCTAGTCCTTGGCACCATAAGATAAAACAAATTTGAAATGCATATTTTGTCATTCTAGAGTCAAGTAAAGGAAAACTTTTTTTAATGTGATACTCCAAGACACCTGTGTTTGTTGCTATACTTTGGATGATCTTTCTTTCACAAAATACAGACTAAAGTAACTTTTCTGAAGAAGCATCGGGTTGTTTTTTAGCTAGCAGAATGAGAGTGTGTGATGATGCCTTCTTGCAGTGCTGGTAGACTTAGCTTGATGTTGTGTTTTCCATAGGACCTCCACTAATACCAGCAAGTGCGGTAGATGCTCGGGAACACTCTGGGACAAGTTCAGTTTCTGCTCTTGCCCCACCAGGAGTAGGACCTCCTCCTGCTTTACCTCCGCATCCTCAGTACACTTTATCAGAATGTAAGCATGCGTTTCTTATTGCTGTTGTTGGGCTACAGGGTCAGGGACAAAACTAAAACTTATAATTTGTTAAGAAGGTCTCTGTGATCTTTGTAGACACCTTTCCTGCAGAAGGTGCACTATTTTATAAGGTGGACATTCAGAACTCTTTTGAATAATAAGGGGTATAATTATATTTTCTGAAAGCTGTAACCAGGTAATTAATGTTTACCATTTAAAAGTTTGAAGGGGAACTGCAGCCCAGTTTCTCAGATTGGTTATTAAATCTATATAACAAAATATTCATTTTTATATAGAAAAAAATTACAAATTCCAAATTAAGCACAAAAACCTGATCTTGTGAAAGCACTGTAAGTCACCATATCTCAAGCCCCTTTGTGCAAGTTCACACAATTTGCAACATTAATTGGCCCTTCCTGCTCACTAGTCACTGTACTACTAGACTACTGTAACAAGAATAAGTATAGGTTGTGCAGCATACTTTTCACCACCGAAATGATCCAACGCGATTTGCATGCAGAATAAACAAGTAAGTTGTATTTGTCAACAAAACCGTCTCGAATTCAAGAGCAACGTTTCTGTTGGATTAAAAGAGATGTATTCATAAGCCTGCTTGTATACAATAATATAGGGCTGCATCACATCACTAGGTGTTTTGTTGCCTCATTCCTGGAAATTGTCTATTTTTCAGATGTAATTTGGAGGTTTTGCACATTACTGTGTACATTTGACTTTTATTGTAGTTTGAAATACACTTATCAGTGCTGATTCTTTCTAACCCCATAATAGTTCCCTTAAGAGAGAAGCTGTCTTTGAAGATTTTGTTGGTTTGCTATAGTCTTCTCCACATTTAAGAATTATGCAGTGGTGTGAATTGACAGTATTTTTATTTGTGACTTAATTATTCTTTTTTCTTAACTGAGGATTCTGCTTCTGTTAAGGAGAGAGAGGAAAGTGGTGCTGTCATTTTCTTTCTCTGGCTGTAGTAACATTGTTTGTTCAGATGGTAGCACTGTTGTCAAAGGTATCATTTTTACAACATGTACATTAGAGTGCCTTTTTTTCACTGATTTTAAAACCCCTTTTAGATTTAGGTTTCAGATTTCTAATTAGAAAGACTTTCTAATATTTTATTTTCAGATAACTACGACCCTGAAGCATATAACCCAGAAGCACCTGGGATCACGGCTCCAGGCAGACCCCAGTACAGGCAGTTCATCCCCAGAATACAGACGCAAAGACCTAATCTCATTGGACTCACCTCCAGTGATATGGACACACAGAATTCAAGAGGTGAGAGATGGTTATACTCAAACTTCAAAGTCTGTGTATATAGTAAGTTATAAATGTCTTTGATGTCGAGTATCCATGCCACCCACATCTGTCCGAATATATTTATGTATTTGTTTTGTGTTTGTGACACTAAACACCTCGTTACTGATAAAAGAAGCACAGAAAAGGTTTTTGTTAGAGACCTAAAGTATAGGTGCAGTCATTAATGTCCGATTTCACTTAACCATAGGGTCAATTAAAATAATCTAGTGTTTCTTGTCATTTGTCAGCTTTGAAGTTCTAGACTCTTTATGCAGTCTAGCTTGAAAACATTGGTTGTGGCCTATAATACTAATTTTTAATTTTACAAACAACTCAAACATGACAAAAGATAAACTTGGACAGTACAACAAGGGAGGTTATCATATCTCTTTCTCATATACCACTGTTGGGGCAAATATAATTTTGCAGAAATCCAGACACTCAGGCTTAAGTGAAAAATATGCAGTGTCTGGTGTAAAGTTTTGAAAGATCCATCAGTGACTTTAAGCATTTGAAATTATGTAATTGTAACCAATTGGGAAGAAAATGGCAGAATTTGATTAGATAAATTAAGATGGATTTTCGTAAGCAGACTGAGTATGAGAGGCCCTTACTTAGGTCAGACCCAAAGCTTCATTTAACTCGATTATTAAAGTCTGTTAAATACAATAAATCTCCTTCAAGTAATTTGACTTCTTGCTGACTTTCTCGGAGATATTTAGCTCCTGTTTTGTTGACTTCAATTTTATTAATGTAATATTAAACTGGATTTATGATAATCTTTTTTTTTTTTTATTTAGTGCTTTTCCCCAATAACAGTTGCCTCAAAGCTTTGCCTAAATGTTGGAAGAATAATAACCTAAACCAATCTGGATCAAAGTAGATCAACCAAAATAAAGCTGAATTGCTTTGAATAAATAGTGACTAAACACTGTTCTCATTGTTTCACTGAAAAGGTGTTGCTGATTATTTTTATAATGAGATTTGGAATTGCTTACTTGAAGATATACATTCTAAACTGCTACTCTGGGTTTCTCCCTTTACTGAAAGCTTGAGTTAAACCATGTTGTTGGATTTCTTTTCTGTCCTTTTCAATATAATACACATTGTTGATTCATGACTGAAAGTTGACGTTGATCCACGTTTTCAGCAGATACATCATCTGTACTCATGGCAAACAGAGTTTTGTTCAGCTAATTACATATAACATGTCAGGGCCAAACCCTAGGGAATAGGTTTTGAAGAAGGCCATTGTATTGATCGGCATTGTAATCCCACATGTTTAATCTATAAAACAACATGAAATTGTTTTCAGTTTTCTGATTTTAAGTTCTAGTTTCATAGTATCTGCTTATTATTGTACACAATAAGTAGTTATTATATTAAATGATTGTTTTGCAAGAGTTATTAGTGTTTCCCATTTATCACACTCATTATTGGATGAAGGCAAACATGATCACTCGGTATTCAATACAGAAACTAAATTTCATACATTATGTGGGAGTGGTATCATACAGTATATATATAAATTCATCCAGCTTTAAGGGAAGGTTATTTTTTAAGAAAATGTATTTATCTTTCTAGGTGAATTTCTTACAATTTGTAGTTGTGTAATAATTTATTTGTGGTGATGGTTGATTTTGTGTACAGCGGCCAATATTGTGATCCAGACTGAGCCCTCTCCCTCAGCAATGACAAATAATAACGCAAGATATAGCAACGATCAAGACAACCGCAAGAGGTCTATGGCTAACACTGAGGGGCCCCAGGCAAAGAAGCCCTGGATGGACAAGTAAGAATAAGACCATTATTGCACTTTTTTCTTTTTCTTTCTGTTTGAATTTAGAATGTTATACAAATTACTGCAGCTAATTTCTCATTCTTTACATGTACATCTGCTGTCATTATCCGCTGTCTTAACTTTTGGAGTTAATCTACAGCTACCTTTAATGTAGTGCATTTAAATCATACCTAGAGAAAATTCCTTTATAGAAAAGATCAATATTTCTGGTTATAGATGACCTTTGTAAGGGCATTTTCTGAGTTGATTCTTTTTATTTCTTGCAGGCAGAATTTCAATAACCAGCATAAACCTGCTTTTCAAAAGAAAAACCATTATGCCAACACAAAACTTGAAGTTCGCAAAATCCCCAGAGACCTTAACAATATTACCAAGCTGAATGAACATTTCAGCAAATTTGGCACTATTGTCAATATTCAGGTAAGATGTTTCTTTTAGGTTTTATACGCAATGGCATGTTAGTCCCTTGCAGCATTCTTTCTTGATAGCTACTTGATACTTTATGCCATGATAGCCCCATGGTAACTTAGTTCTTGAATAGGACAAAATGTATACATAGTGTTAAGAAACTTGTGCGCTTCTCTCATATGCTTGTCAGGTAAGTTACCATGAGCATTTAGTGGGATATTTCCAATAGTAACAGATGGAGTGCTGAAAATCACTGTGAGGTTGAAATGGTGTACAGTACATGCAGAAACTTAATTTCATGAATCCTCACCCAGGAGCACCCTTTGACCTTTGAAGTAAATAATGCATCTTTTCGTGTTCAGGTTGTGTTTGGCGGCGATCCAGAAGCGGCTCTTATACAGTACACCACAAACGAAGAAGCCAGGAGAGCAATATCCAGCACAGAAGCTGTGTTAAATAACAGGTTTATCAGAGTCTACTGGCACAGAGAGAATAATGAGCAGCAGCAACAGCAACAGCAGCATCAGGCCCAGACACAGACTGCCCCCGTAGCATTGCAGCATACAAGTGTTCATAAGGTAAACATTGCATTTTACTATTAATATAGATTCACCAGCATGTTACTGTATGTGCTCTATGTGTTCTACTTTCTATTCCTCTATGTTACTGTTTATCTTTGTTTTTTCTTATCTCGGGGGGGGGGGGTATTACAGTTAAAAACAGAATTTTATACTTCCCTAAAGCTAACAAAGGGAATATATTAATGAATGTTATGTTATGGAGTAAAAAAATCTTTTTGAGATCTCCGTTTTGGTGCAAGCATCAATACATCTATTTTGTTTTGAGACTGACACATTAACGGTGAGTATAAAAATCAAGGCCTGTGTTTATTAACGTCAGTTAAGGCTTTAAAAAGAGAATCATCTTGGTCTGGAAAAGATTCAGAAGTTCCAGGTTAGGTGTAGAGCCTTGCTTATATACTCTGTTGTTGTTGTTTTTGTTGTTGTTGTTGTTGTTGTAGTAGTCTGAATTGTTTTGTCTCGAAGTTAAACCAAACTGTAATCATTTTAAGGTCATCAACAAACAACATAACCCTGGATCATACGTTCTTAACAAAATGACACCTAAACATCGTCTTGGAAATGCCACTGGGAATAAAGGAGATGCTCCGCAGCCCAGTACAGAAGTTTCACCGGTAATATCATTATCTATCATATGTAACATACAATGTTTTTCATACAAACAAATTAAATACATTCACACTTTCTTTTATCTTATGCAATGATGCAAAATTGCTTATTGTATTGACTGAAATTTAGAATTTGTTTCTTGAGGGGGAAGATAATTATTTAGATTAACTTATAGTGACATTTTAATATTATGGGGCAATACAAGTTAATACAAGTTTTCCTTCAGGTTTTATAAATGTGTTTTGAATTTGGTGTTATTTGTTCCATCTTTAGTTTCCTGGTGATATTTATTTTTACTATATTTTTGTTATTGACCCACTAATTTAAATTAGTGTTTGAATCAGTGGGAGTTTGTATTATGAAAGATAATTCTTTTTTTTTTTAGATGTTTTTCTGTAATAGGAAGTTCATAATTTGTCTTGGAAATTGCTAACCAGGAGTTTATTTAACACAATCACAATGTAGCCTACATTAGGATCTTATCAAGCAGTTTATACATAAATTATTTTATTAAAGGCAGGTTGAATTATTAGCTACAAATATATGTGGTAGTTGCAGTCATAACTTTTTTGTTTAACACTCGCTTATGCACTGAACTGGGCTCACTTTTGTCTTTTTTTGTCACAAAGAATACATATACTGCAACAAAACTAACTTCATAGTTTTTTTTTAAATTAAATCGGTACTTAATAGGAGCTTTGTATGCTTGACCTCTGTGCACTGTCTGAACACAGTCACTTGCATCTGTTTTATATAGAGTATAAGCAAGATTATCCATAAGTACACATCATAAAAGTCTACCTCTTTTTAGTTATCCATTGTTCTAAGAAGACAAGAAAGGCAAACATCTAAGAATAAGTATGAAGTCTCATTTTTGTAAGCTGTCAGTAAAGATTAGGATTTTGACAATTATAAAATTTCTACAGTGCTTTGAGCAGAGCACATGGTCTTTAATATCGCACATTACTGCAGGAGTAATTTTACATGTTGGTGCCCAGTGTTCTATTCCTCATGTATACAATAGACAGGTGTTTGCTATGTGGTTATTCTCTTCCAGGCGATGCCTGCCTCTATGAGCCTTCAAAAAGGAGCCTACAGTTCTGCAGTCATGAAGATGACTTCAAAGCCAATGGTGAAAGCAACTAAGGCACTTGAGGCACATGAGGCCATGAAGAAAAAGCAGGTAAGTGCTACTACTGAAAATTAGCATTTTGTGATAATTCCTGAGGACATTTTAATCCTAAACGCACAAAAAGAGTATTTTTAAAATATACTCTTCCTACCCCCTGGGAGCAGGTACCAGATCCCCTGTATAAAGACTAAGAGCATTTACTTCCTTCATACCTGAAAGCATTCAGTTGTTGAAAAATTAAAAAATGTTTGCAGGTATTAATCTTCTTATTATGGTGTTATTTTAGATTTAAGAACTGATTCTGTTTCTTAACCTTGTTACTTGATGAGTTCTGATTGAGCAATGTTGTTGAATGTTTTTACATTATGGTATTATGTTTGAGCTTTTGATATCCAAGACAAATTCCCTTAGGGGCAATAAAGGTTAATTTGATTTAATTCTTATTTATATTAACTGAATATATGCATTTCTATTCTATTAAATATTACTTGTTTTTGTCATAATACACATATTTAGAGGTGTTAAGAGGATGATTGTATGTCATTATGGGAAATTATTTCAGTTCAGGTAACTTATGTTTTGTGTTTTACTTCAGGAAGCACTAAAATTGCAGCAAGATATGAGGAAAAAGAAACAAGAAATGCTAGAGAAGCAAATAGAATGTCAGAAGGTAAGTGTTATTCTGTTACTGTATTGTGTAGTTGAGAAAACAGTTTGTCAAAATAATTGCTTTCTCCAAGTGTAATTGAGTATTAAGCTTTGACTTAATTCAGGTGTTAATCCTTTATGTATAACTGTAGCAGTATTTTAAGACATGTAGTTTTTGTAGTGATGGAATGCTTCTTCATCCGTCTTAGAATAAAACTAACATTTCTGTATGGTATTTCAGGTGTTGATTAACAGACTTGAAAAAAATAAAAACATGAAGCCAGAGGACAGATCTAGCATTATGAAGACCCTGAAAGACCTCACTGAGAAGATTTCACAGCTGAAAGATGAAATGAAGCCATCTTGTAACACTCTAGCAAAGTCAGCCCAGCTTAAGACTAAAATAGATGTAAGTCAGGTCAACTGGTTGGATGGATTTTTTTTGCATAACAGATTACTTATTTTTGCAACAAGAAGTATGAGTAAGACATGTTTTTATCTTGGTATGGTAAAATAAGAAGACTTTCTCTTAATTTAATCATGATGGTGATAAATTATATATGTATGTAGCCATTACTGATACTTTAATAATTAATTTATCTTCAAGTGTTAGGATGACAACCAATGTTAGTCTGAATTCTTCCCTTTTTCTTTAAGGTGAGCTATGAATGCCAGTTTTCATTCCATCAAACTGGGAAGTTCAAGGGATTATTTTAGTTTATTCTCCCTTGAAATTTATATTCAAAGCATGAGATAATGTTGATTGTGGCAGATCGCTTTTGAGTAATGGCATTTGTGTGTATGTTTAAGGCACAGAAGGAACTGTTAGATGCAGAGCTGGATTTCCATAAAAAGCTGAGTTCTGGAGAAGATACAACTGATTTAAAAAAGAAACTCAGTCAGCTTCAGGTAGAGGTAAGAAAATGTAAATAAATTCACTTGTTACCACACTGTTCATAAGGGAAATATTTTTCTGATCCTGTTTATTCTTAAAATATGTTCTTTTGATAACGCTACTTTGAATAAAGCAGAAAATCCCTTTCTGTTACGTAAGCAGAATAGGAACTTTCCCAACCAATCACAGTTTAATTGTGTTAGATGAAATATATATTGCTATATCCCTTTTATGTGATAAGGCTACATTAAACAGCAGGCACTTTGCAAGCCCAGAGGAGAAAGACTAAAGAATTTAAAAATGAAATCCTACATTGATCCATTTCTTAACATTAAATTTTGAGTTGTTGGGGCTTAGACAGAGAGGGAAAATGACAGTGTGGCAGGTGGTTGTCTGTGGCAGTGGTAGAAATTGCTCCACGTCTTGCGGATTTTCAGGCGGCCCGCTTGGGGTTAATACCCGCTGGTCGAGGAAAGGTGACCCCAGTCCGAGGTCGCGGAAGGGGACGAGGGAGGACCTTGAGGGGCCGAGGAGCTGGGAATCACATGGTGGTGGACCACCGACCTCGTGCTTTGGCCATCCTGGGAGTAACAAAGGAGGAGAAGGATGAACTGATGCCTCATTTTGTTGTAAGTAGAGACCACAAAGGTGTTACATTCTTGGGCAGAGAGAAGATGAGGATGCGTGTCTTACTGTAAGCAGTTAGATACCTCTAAAGTTTAATTTATTACTAAAACTTATTGGATTCTCTGAGTTGGTCAGAAGCACAAGTACACAGTTTCTAAATGTATACAAAATGGTATCCAGCAAAGGCACGTTTACACATGATCTGATGATCTGTTATCAATAAACCTGAATTGGATTACACATTTTCCCCCAAAACATACAAGATTTGTCATGTTAATTTGTACTAATAATTAAATTTAGAATTCAATAACCTGCAGCTGTAGTGAGAACTGAAGTGCTTAGCTGAACCAGCCTTAAATGAGTATCTTTTAATTTCTCTACTTTTTTTTATTGAAGGGCATACCTCAGTGTTTGGGGAAATTTGTTTTCAAAAGCTTGCTGTCATTAGAAGCTCTTTCTCCTTTTCCTCAATAATAGTACAATAGAGGCCAAAGACCCATATCATTTTTAATAAACACTGATGTAGTAAATGCATAAAGAATCAGAGAAGGCTAAGCATCCCATGCTAAGCATATATAAGTGTAAGCAATTATTATTATTATTATTATTATCCCTGTGGTGAAAAATGAAATCGTAGACATTTTGTGTCCTAGAAAAAAGCAGGGACCTCTAAGAAGAACATTGAAGGTGAAAAGAACTAGATGATTTGCACCATATTAAATAATTTTACATTGATGGAAAGTCTGTCCTGTGTTTTTTGAGTCCTATTGAAATATGCGTTTTGTTCCCTCCACTTCACAGTCGTGTTTTAGAACACAGAAAACAGTATCCTGTTACAAGGTCTAAGTAATTTGTTGAATTAAAAACACATTTACTTTTCACAAAAGTCTATAAACTGTCTGCAGAACCTGTAACATATACTGAAAATCAGAAGAAACGTAATTTTTATGACTAAGGTGCAGGCATGTTACAATTTGGTTGTTACATGAGCAGGATGTGCATTGTTCTGCTGTAAAACAATGTGGTAGAGCTTGTAGGAAGAGTAGCAAGTGAGGTCCTATGGTCTGAACAGTGTAGCACTGTATAGTCAGTTCGTCATTAATCAGTTAAAGCCAAATTCTTTAGCACCTAGAGACAGTCCTCCCTAGACCTTCATAATTCAATCAGTCTGTTGAACACAAGATTTACAATATCATGTGCATAGGCTGCAAAGGAACAAGTAATAGGTTTATTCCATGCTGAAAAGAGAAGAAAGAGAATGCAACATTTCGGCCGTGGATTCTTCTTGAAGAAGGCTCCATGGCCGAATCGTTGTATTTACAATATAATTATGCACTATAATCACTGATATTCATCAAGTTGGTTAACACAAAACCATTATCTGCTCTTGGCTAGTCCTTCAACATACCAGTGGCACAAAGCATGGTTCCTTCAATAAACATATTGGTTCCATTCTGTTTTTCTTCCATGGTTTTTGCCTGCCGTGTGGTCAGTAAATTCTTTCAAAGAGCTGGGTCCTTTAAAGAACCTTAGAAAGATTTTTAGCTCCTAATATTTTTTCATTTTTAAGTTAAATGGGAATACACAAAACCTTTTGTAATTCAGTCTGAAATGTTGCGTATCTTCAGTTCAACATGCTACTCTATGGTTTCTGTAAATATCTAGTGATAAATGGTAATTTATCTTTGTGATAGAAATTTGGAGAGATTGAAGAGTTACGTGACCATGATGCCACAAGTGTTGTGATGACATTCAAGACGCGAAGTGAGGCAGAAAACGTGAGTTTTTAAACCGTTTTTGACGTTGTATTTTATAATTGTAATTTAAATAACAGACATGGTGCATAGATACCTATGATGTCTTATTAGCAATCTCCAACTAGGATTCTGAATGCAGTTCATGAAGAGGATTCATTGGGGGTATTCTTTTGACCTGGGCATGATGCGTTACAACAAACCTGAGTACTAAAGACCAAAATGACAAAGGTTTTGATTTGCTGGTCAACTTATCATTTGCACATGTTTTAGTACACAATTCTACATACCCTGTTAACTGAAATGGCATATTTTGCATTTAAGTATATTTTGTGTGTATTTTTTTTTACTTGGTGAGGACTAGGTGAATGTCTTAATATGTTTAAGCATAAGATCTTTAGGGGGTGTCCTTACGTGTATGTATTTGTGAGCATGACTGTGTGCAGGCATGTTCAAGCTTTTTACAGATCTAAGAAAGGGATTCATAAATTACATTGCATAGCTTTACTGTATCACTCTGTCAATGTTAGTTGAGAACTGCTATTTTTGTAGGTCCCATACATTTTCCAACTGTATTAGAAACATACTGGAATCCATTTCTCTGCTGAATCTGCTGAAAGATTTTCCTTTTCCCGAAAGAGCCTGTTTCACTAAATAATCTAGTAAGTGTTGTCATTTTAAGGATGGCCAACAGAGCTTGATATCTATTACTACTACTTTTACAACTTAAAATGTTATTTTAAGGAAATTTAAAAAATACACTTTTTACATTTAAAAAAAACTTTTTTTTCAGGCTGCCAACCAAGGTGCAAAGTTCAAGGGTCGCACTCTGCAGATCTCGTGGTATAAACCCAAGACTCCATCAGTATCAACTGAACCAGAAGAAGAAGAATCTAAGGAAGAGGTTAGAAATACAATGAAGATTGTAAAGTAGCATGGAGAATTACAGAGCTGGGGTCATATACCATTTGCAGTTGCATTCTCTGGCACAGTGAGTTATCACAGGGCTCATACCTGTACAGTAACTCATATAGGACGGTACATTGGATACTGCTCATGCAATAAGTTCTTAAGATAACCTGGAACAAATCACTTAGGTGTCTTAAATGCAAGCAGAAGAACCTTAGTATGAAGACAAGAGTTATATGATGATACAGGACAGATTAGGGTTGGCACATGACCTGCTAAATTCTAGACATAATGACGTGGGCAGCACAATAACTACGTCATTATTTTTTTTAAATAGAAATCTAATGAAATAGAATAATGTAATAGAAACGGAAGCTATAGGCTTTATTTCTGCTAGATCTCTTTAAATATCCAGGGAGAAGTAAAGCTTTAATGAATAAGTAGTAGTTAATTTCATGAATCCTTCTTCTGACAAAAGTGTATTTTATCATTTTTTACTGTTCATTATGGCAAACATTAACCTCTGCTTGTTCCATTTTAGACTACTTCTTGATCTAAACATTTTTAATGTTGAGGAGGTGGAGAATTTGTAGCTATTAACAGGTTTTTTTCATGTCCTTGAACGTATTTAGAAGTTAATTTACCCAGTGTTTTGAACTTTCAAAACCACAAATAGAATACATGCAAGAGATTTGAAAAATATAATTGTTTATAGGAGGTGATTGTTTCAGCATGATTCTGCTGTGGGTCAGTGAGGTTCTGTTTATTAATTATTGGTATCCTGGCAATCACATATAGCTACTGTACATTTAAACCTTCAGATTTTTAGAAAGAACAAAATTTGAATGAACTGATGTGATCTTAAACTCTTGTCCACCCAGGAGGCTGAGTGCTCCCTCTTACACCCTGAGGAAGAGGAGGAAGATGATGACGAAGAGGATGAGGATGAAAGCCGTTCGTGGCGAAGATGAAAAAATTCTTCACCCCCCTTTTTTTTGTGAAAGACTGTTAATTTTTGTAGTACAAAGTAGATGTATTTAATAAGGTAGAAATCATGTTTTCAAAACAGAGTTCAGGTTTTGAGACTAAGAAGCCAAAATAAGTGAAGTGTCAGAGACGGTACTTGCAGTAATGGTTATAATAGGAATGTGAGAAAACAAGACTCCATTCAGCTGTCAGGGTTAATCTGTTGTACATTTTGGGATATCAGATTTTGTAATAGCTCTCATTTAGCTGTACGTAGCATAAACAAAGCAAATTTTCTAGCACCTTCATTCGAGCTGTGAGCCTGACCCTTCCTTCAGTGGCCTGCCCAGACTCCAGGAGTTTGTGTCTCTTAATTGTCGAGGTAAATTAAGTTCAGGTTCTGACAGGTTGTTGCTGAGCCTTTTGTTCATTGCAGGCTTCATCCCCTTTTATAAACGGGGTGCTTTCTTGTCTAATTGCTGCAAGGGTAGGATCAAAATTAGTGTGAATAAACAATTTATGAAAACATCTTTTTCAGAGTTACTTTTTCAAGCCCATTTACACTTGGGATTTAAGAAAAGGGCATTTAGCTGTGCGTTACTGATTTAAAAGAAACATACATTGCGGTTTTTACTGCATAGTGGAACTGAAGTTATGAACATGCTTTGAGATTTGAAATTCTTTAGCTTGCCTTCTTTATTTTTTTAAGTGCAGGCTGTTTTTGGTGATTTATATATTCTCACACTTATGCGTTAAATAGGACATTTTGATACTTTTAATTGAAACCTTAATGAATTAAGACTAAATATTGTCTACAAGCACAATAAAGGTGTCATAAAAGCTATACTTTCCCTAAAACATTCTCAAATTCTTTAAGAAAAGGAAATTATATTCAGCACGACATTTGGACTATTTGAAAACTGAAACGGGCTGATAATTCGTTTTCATGCAAAAAAACTCAGTACCCCCTAAATAGATTGAAAAATAACATACAAGATTTACAGTAGGACATTCTTTCCTAACCAGTTTTGTCAAAAGACTGGATAGTTTTGTTCCAGATTATTTTGCATTTTGTGTAATATGCAGTGCCACTTTATGTAAAGATCTACATCAAAAATGAAAGACTGTAGATTGTGCCAGTATTTCGTAAGGAAAGGAATAAAAATGTGAATAGCTCTATGATTTCCCCAACAATATAAATAGTTGTAAGGATTTTTTTCAGTCATTACCCAAAGAGTTCTTTGGCCTTTGTACATGATATATTATAAGCAAACTTAGAACATTTCTCACATCCCTGTTCAAGATATGGATTATTTTACAGGGAACAATTTAATGCTTCTGCATTATGCAGAGTGGTGTTTGAATGTATATTAATACATTTTTGTTTTGTATATAATTTTGCCTTATTGTCTATTAAATTACCAGCAGACAGCTGCATTTTTATAAGATTTTCCGTGTATTTTTTGTACAGAGGTTTGCAATAATTAAAATGTAGATAATATTTTTTTCTAGATTAGTGGAGATGAATGTTAAATTTAAGTGGTGACAAAAATAATCCCTTTCACATGATTTTAAAGCTGGAAAGCTCACAATACACTAGTTTCCCTTTCCTGTTTTATAATGATATTGCAGCAGTACATTCTTCTGCAGTGTTTTCATGGTTAAAACGTTTTGGAAATATGTTTTTTCATTCATTTTAGAGTGAGCTTGTGCCCTGTTCTAAAGTCTCCAGCTATTTAAGATTTAATGTATTTTATGAAAGGAATATTCCAACTTTTATTTATTTTGTCAAATCGGACTTTTAGTTCAGCTGTTTTCAAGAGTGAAAGAAAAATATGGGGGGTTGGTGAGTGCAACTCTTCTTTACTGGACAAAAGTTAACAGTACATATAAGAATTCTTTTTTTGGGGGGGCTCGTAGAAAATAATCCAAATCCTATGAGCCATTCTCTCAATTTTATTCTTTATTTTAATGAACACTGTCTTTTTAGTTTTTTTTTTATAAAAAAATTCCATACTTCAATATAGCATGGTTTTTTTCAAGTGGTAGGACAATGCCTAATCACACATTTAAAAGAAACGCTCGACTTCCAGACTGTACCTTTATCGGTTTGGTTTGAGTGGACAAAAACAGGCAGGTCTGGAAACTGGAAACCTTAGCTTCATTGTATTGAAGCCAAAGCTGTTACTGACTTGCATTCTAGAACACTTCAGACTGAAATGCACATCAAGCTTTGTAGAATCATGTGCAAGGGAATTTACTCCCTTCTTTATTTGTAAACCAAACTGTGTATGATAGTTTTACATTGTAGTGATGTGTAATACATTTTGGAAACATTGTATGTGGATTTGTAACTGTTTAATACATTGGGATTTGTGGATGTATTTTTGATTTCCTGTTTATAACCTCAATTTCTAACATTAGCATGTTCACTTTCCCAATAAAGATAATGGAATGGCTGTGATAAAGATTTTGAAAAGAAATCAACTGGGGAAAAAATAATTGGATAAAAAAAAATGCTGCAAAGAAACCATTCCAAAAATTTCACCCCCAAAATCTGTTGTTTGTGTTTTTTGTGCATTCTTGTCATAAAAGAACATGCATGTCTTGGTACATTTATACCTTCTGCTTTTTTAGCAGTGTTACTTTATATAGCCGGTAGTGTGTATACACTGTAGGCACAGAGTGCACTTCAGCATAGGTTGTCATGAGTTAATGGAGTAAATGAGAAATCTGTTGAAGTAAACTAAAAATAATTTAAAGTTAGAATGAGCACCTATTGTGATATAAAATATTATGAAATTATGTGCATTGCATAGAAAGCAAAACTCCTATATTTTATTTTTTCTGTAATGCAGATTTTTTAGGTCTGTGAATTTAAACATCTGATAGGCCAGCTGTTATTTCTGCTAGAGCATTTTATTTGTGTCCATCAACTGTCACCAATTTACAGTTTTCTTTCTGCATGCTGCTTTTGAACTTCAGACTCGGAGAACAAAAATGCAGGCTTATTTTGGCTCATGATATTGGCAGCTTTATGTAATGCAATATTTATGTATGTTAATTTTGGGGTTAAACACATTTTAAACTGATATTTATTCCGGAGTTGGATATATGAAAAAATCTGATTCATTCTAGAGCACTTTGCCTCAAAAGGAACTTATGTTTATTTTATTTTCAATATTGGTTCACCTTCTATTCAGCATTTCTGTTGACTTAAACTACATTATAATTCAGGTGAGTCTCTCCCCTGAATCACAGCATATCTCGTACTTGGCACCCTTTCCTGCTGTGTGCTTTGTTTAACAATGATTCGTGTCTTGAGCTCAGGGTTTCAATTATTTCAAGCAATGTTTGTTGTAGAATTATTTATGTAACTTAATAGTTGTTACTTTTTTCCATGTGATTATTACATCACATACACAGTTCCACCAAATAACTAGAGAATAGTGTGTTCTACAGGAGACATCTATCTCCTCTCCAGCAATGGCATTGGCCTCAACAAATTTTATATCACAAGATTCCTAATGATCATAAAGTAATCATAGACCAGGCCTTTTCTTCAGTATATTCCAGCATAAAACTGAAGAAGGATACAGGTGACCTCACAAGTCACACAACTGTTAATGTGCATCCATTGCATTGCTGAAGGCAAAGGCAGATCCAGGTGGTCCATGACAATTTAGACACCCACAAGGGTTTACAGGCAGTGGTTGGTGGATTACAACAGTAGAGGGTGAAATGAAGCTTCAAGACACTACTGAGCTGTTCTCCACACCTTATGCAGCCTCAACTCTGATATACTGTATAGAAGGAAGATGTATCTTGTGTGTATTCATTAGATTGACTTGTTTAAACTGAAGGAACGAAAGCAGTGCCACTACACCTGGGAAAAGGCATCGATGGAAATATTTGACAAACAATTACCATTATAATTTTATTCTCTTCATTGCTGTAAAATGTAAAGTGTTTTGAAGGTAGCCAGGTGTTATTTTGCATGGTCTTTAGCCTACAAAAGACGTTATGGATTAGAATTGTGATTCAAGAGTTAGAAAGACCCCTCTCTGTTCCCCAGCTGGGGGTCATTCATGACTAGAATCTGCCTTTTACTGGCATAATTTTTTTGTGGATGTTACGCTCAACAGGGGCAGAGCATTTGAATGTAAGATTTAGTAATTACAGGCTTTTCTTTTATACACGAAAAAGTTTTATGGAACTGTGCAATTCAATGTGACTTCGTAGCATTTGATTTATTCAAACAGTGATAAATTATATATTTCGTCTACTTTGGCCATTCATGTGAAAAATATTTGGAGTCAATTTGGTATAATGCAGAGCTATTTTGTCCCAGATGGACAAAGAAGTGTCATCTATCTTCTATCTGTTTATCAACTCATACCTTTCACATGTCAAATCACTTGAGCTATGTCTTTGCCATTTGTGTACCAGGGGAAAAGATGGTAAAAACTGACAAAAAAAGGAAAATTCATGAAAAGAGAGCTTGAGAAGTTGCTGAACTCTTCCAACTGGTGTGATGTTTAATATCCTTAATGAACAAGAATCTACCAGAAGGTAACGGATAACTCCAAAATACCTGATTAATTATTGACTGTCTGGGTAACTGTAGACCTTGCTTGGATCCGATTGTGCAATGGAACAGCTGTGTCATTCCCTTCACCGGCTTCTCCATTCTGTGCCATGATGTAAAGACTCAGCTCACATGAACGGGTGAAGCTGTTTTTTTATGTTCAATTGAATCCTAAAGGTTTAGGAGGATGTTTTCTTTTCCGTCTTTTACTAAACATAACATGGAACCATTCCAAATGGGTAAACTCACAACATTTTAAAGGATAGAGTTCATCGATTAGTCGTAGCTGATTGGTATTTGTAACGTAAAAGGTAGCAGTTATACAGTATACTGTATAATGCATATTGTATATAAAGACTTTATTACCTGAATATGTATATGACATAAGTGGCAAAAGCTTAATATCCAACTGGTCAGAAACCGGGTTACTTAACCCCGATCTGTAACGCTGTCGATTTCGATTTAATCATTTCCGACATTATTTGTCAGTCTCTTTTGGTATATCCTTAATGATGTATTTTCCCCTTTTTTGTGAAAAGAAATACAAATAGCAGCAGTTGGTGTTCCAAATTTATTTGGGTTTTTTTTCCTAGTCAAGCATTTTATTCAATTTATCTTGATGTAAGCCACCGCTGAATTTTTATCAAGCTTTTCAGAAGTGTGATCAATTATTTATGGCTAAATGAATCAATGAACCAGGCCATTGCAATGACACTTTTAAGTCTGCTGATAGACTGAGTTAGTAGTCCATATGGGATGCTTTTGACTTGTCATTGTTCATGTGCATATATGTATACCTCTTGTGCTGTTTATGAGGTGTAACGGCAATACAGGTGACCGAAAGCATAAATATTTCACAAGCTTAATTATGACTGTCAATCTTGTGTACATGCCCTGCTGTTTTGAAGCCTGCATCAGTTTATGTTCTGCTTAAATGGTACAAAAAGACCTGTAAGCGTAGTTACTTATGTCATATACTGTATGAATTCATTCAGACTGGTGGCATTAGAAAATGCCTAGCCAAGTTGTTCAAGTTACATGCAACCATCTATCGACTAATCAAGTTTTAATTTGTAATTTTGTAAGGATTTCCTGTTTCTGCCTGTAAGGAGAACTGAAAAATATTTAAAGCCACTTGTTCATGACACTCTTCATGAAATAATTTATAAATTACAGGTGTTCTAACCCCTTCCTTTGCTTATTTCAATAGCCAGAAAAGCATGCGAAAGACGTTGAATAATTAAGGGGAAAGGTAATACAATTTATACATCAATTAATTACCTCCTCTAAACAAAAGCGGGCTTTAAATATAGTTCCACTTTAGATAAAACTTTCATGCAGCTACTTAGGCTCTGTGAAATATAAATGATTTGCTGTAAATGTTTTATAATAAATCAGGACATGTAGATTTGCAACAAGACGCTGATTTCTCTCTTTGATGTGACCGAGAAGCTTTCTTTCACAGATTCACTCATGTTTCACTTCCATTTGTGCAAATCTGATGACAAATAATAGCATGCAAGCTGTCCTACATAGCCTCTATACTTTCCCCCTCGCCCTACCATCGCCTTGAGGTCTTTTAATTTTTTGTTGATGTATCAGGACTCTGGAAAAGTACAGCAACCATTTAAGCAGAGCGAGAGTTGGCCCACGCACTTCCTTGATCCGTGAGCTCTCCGTGGTCCTGAATTCAACCTGACGCTACTGTAACCCTGAATGTTAATACGAAATATAAAACTCCAACGATCATGTGAGTCGAGAAAAGACCAAACACCTGTAATTTACACCTTTGTTAGGATGAGCAAACTATTTTCGTGTCTGTACGATTACTTAAATTAATCTTAAATTCGTCTGTTTTCAGATGGAATAGCAAATCGAATTTTAACATTTTTAATTTTAACATGTTCTTGCCTTTTTTTTAAACCATTTTTATTTATCGGTTTCGCTTTTAGGGTGTTTTTTTTCTAGCAAATTAACTGTTCTCTAATACAGATCTGTTAATATTAACATTCGAAATTCAAATTAATTTTGTTAGATGTGTGATTAACTATCATAAAACATTTGGTCATTTTATAGGCCAGGTAAAATATTTTGATTGATCATATGCAAGACAAATATTTTGAAAATTTAAGCAAAACCTCAAACGAATGATGAGATGACAACTAATGTTTGAAGAGTTACTGAAAGCTTGGAAGGAGACGGTCATAACACCGTTGCAATTTAAATTTTCATATTAAACATGTATACGATAATGTAACTCTTTAAACTCTGAACTTTGATCGAGAAAATTAACCGTTAGAAATGAATATACATTCATTATTAATAGTTTTTTTAGCATTAAAATCATTCAAATGGAGTTCGCCGTGGATCCGAACTTGTTACTTCTCCCACTTAGTGGTTTCTAATTAACTCTATTAGCACCAATGCCGTCCATAAAATAGCCACGTCCCTCAAAAAAATGTTTGAAGCTAAATGGTTTTGGCTCCTCCGGCTAATTTCTTAGGCTTCTTGCATGCAACACGCTTGCGCGTAGCTGCGGGTCCTATTCCTGGCATGCAGCTTGTAAGATGAGTAAAGAAGCAGGTGGAGAGAGTTGCATAGAGAGAGGCTCTGTCATTGGAAGGTGCTCACACTGACAGGAGCAAGCCAGAGAGTCAACCCAGCCTCTATGTCAAGGCTGCCTACCTGCAAGGTGTGCTGCAAAGATGATGACCATGAACAGCAAGCAGCCTTTCTCTATGCATCCTGTACTACAGGAGCCTAAATATGCCAGTCTCCACTCAAGTTCAGAGGCTATGCGCAGAGTTTGCCTTCCAACCCCACAGGTATGTAAATCTGCATAATTACTGCTTTAAGGCACATTTTTGACAGACACTAGCTTAATGTTTTTTTCATGTTGCCGGAACAATCAGATAGCACTGTACTTCTATCTCAGTGTCTCTCTCCCCCCTCTTCCACCTCTCTCTCGCTCTCTCTCTCACACACACACACTCTGTCTGTCTCTGATCCACATGTCTATTCAAGCAAAGCTTCTGCCTTCATATTAATTTTTATGACCTGGGCTTTGAGGAGGATTCTCTCTGTGCTTGAAAATGTTTTTTAATCCTGAGTTGACAGAATTCCCCACTGACTCCAATATGCGCATTCTTGCTTGCAGCTTCAGGGCAATATATTCGGAGGCTTTGATGAGAGTCTGCTTGCCCGCGCTGAAGCTCTGGCGGCTGTTGATATTGTCTCCCACGGCAAGAGCCATCCTTTCAAGCCAGACGTGACCTACCATACCATGAGCAGTGTCCCCTGCACCTCTACCTCTTCTACAGTGCCCATCTCTCACCCGTCTACCCTAACCTCCCACCACCACGTTCATCAAAGTTTGGAAGGAGACCTCCTCGACCACATCTCCCAGAATTTAACTGTAAGTGGGATGGGGGCACCGGATCCCTCTGTTATGTCGGCTCAGGTCCATCAGCACCATCTACAGACCATGGGTCATCTTCACCAAGCCATGGGGATGGGACACCCACATTCCCTGTCCGCTCACAATGGGATGACCTGCATCAACGACGTGGAATCCGATCCCCGGGAGCTGGAAGCTTTCGCTGAGCGATTTAAACAAAGACGGATCAAGCTTGGAGTGACGCAGGCTGATGTTGGATCTGCTCTTGCCAACCTCAAGATACCAGGGGTCGGGTCTCTTAGCCAGAGCACAATCTGCAGGTTTGAGTCCTTGACCTTGTCTCATAATAATATGATTGCTCTGAAACCTGTCCTGCAAGCCTGGCTGGAGGAGGCAGAGGCGGCACACCGGGAGAAGAACAGCAAGCCCGATCTCTTTAACGGTAACGAACGAAAGCGAAAACGTACCTCAATTGCGGCTCCAGAAAAGCGCTCTTTGGAGGCTTATTTTGCAATCCAGCCCCGTCCATCTTCAGAGAAAATTGCCGCCATTGCAGAAAAGCTGGACCTCAAAAAGAACGTGGTTAGAGTCTGGTTTTGTAATCAGAGACAAAAGCAAAAAAGAATGAAGTACTCGGCGGTACATTAGTTGAAACAAATCAGCGTGACATTGATTTGCGTTTAATCAAGAAAATAGCAGGGATCTACTTATCCATGTCTTCTAAGGACTAGTGATATTAAGCCATGGACGGACTTTTTTTTTGCCTCTCTCACTTTTTCTAAAGTAACACAAGTTTAAAAGTTTAACATCATTTGTAGAAAAGTACTTGTAAAATTTGTATTGAGCACTAAAAGATAACTGCTTGTCACTTCGAGGAAATTTGTTGCTTCAATGTATTTGATGGATTGTCCTGTTCTTATACTTCAATAACATGTTGCTACTTGTATTCCTATTATTGGTATTAATATTATTATTAAACAGACAAGATTTAAATTAAAAGAATATATAGAATACTGTAGTTCTCGCTAATGAAAAATGGTTGGAATAACAGAATCCCTGTTCTGAATCTAGAGAAAATACAGTAGGTATATATATATCAAAGTCAAAGCTTTAAAATTAAATGCGGTAAATCAATGTACATTTTCATTTTACTTGTAGTAATAAATTTCTTGAGAATAAGTTCAAAATGGATAACATTTACTGCTGTCGGAACTACGTGATCGTGTACTTAAAGAAGTCATGTTAAATTTGACTGAAAAGACCTTAACTCTGGACCAGAAACATCTCGTTTTACCGTTTTAAAATAATTTTGAAAAGAACTGGAGAACATTGTTTTAATGTTTCATTTTCAGATTATATTCTTAAATTATGCTTTATATATGAATATATTTTGTTTGAAAATGTCCGCTATTTTAAGGCATGTACAAATACTTAAAATTATGCTCTTTTCACTAACTAATGGGAAAATTATACACTGAGTGTCTATGAAATATATATCACTGTGATTTTATTATTAGTAGGAGTTTATTTTATTACACTAATTCCTTGTGTGTGGCTGTAAAGTAAACAGGTAGATTAAAGGTTAAAGATCTACAGTAGGTAGTCAAGTTATAATACTGTTTTATTATCAATCATTTCCTTTCTCACTTTTTTACTTGACCAAGTGTGTTTTTCGTCGTGACCTGACGTTACTACTAATAAACTCTCTATAATTTGTAAAAACGAAAATTGAATTAATTTTCATAATACAAATTGCTTTTACTAAAATACCTTTTTTTCTGCTTTTGTTGATTTCAAATCTAATAGCTGTTCACAATACTCGAATTATAACACTATCAAATGGATATGTACATAAATCATGTAGAATGAAACTGATAACCGCGAAAACTATTGTAGAGGTATGTGTTTTCAAGAGGACTGAAGTCTTTTTTTTTATTTATGGATCCCTAAAGCACTGTCACTATTAAACATTAATGCCAAGAGTGCGAATATTTTCTGAGTATTTCAAGGAAGAGTTTCAATAACTGTCCTTAAAACTTTAAAATGTGCAGCACAAGGAATATCAAATTCATTATGCCACAACTGTTCTGAAATTTTAAAATCCTGTGGTCTTTGCCCCTCATTTCCCAGTCTTTTTAATCAGCCTCAGCGACTTTTTCCCAATCAAACGTCCTTTAATAATAAATGCCCTTATGCCATTACATTATATTGTGGGTTTTGAAAATTTAAAATAAGGTAATGCAATATTAATTGACCGTAGAGGTATAAAACGGGGCAGAAAGCAGTTCACTCTCCATACGAGACTTCGCCAATGCCCATTAGGATTCAAAAGGATAAAAACGCTTTTCAGGTAAGAATAACATAATTTAGCTTATCTTTAATCCTTTTCTTCTATTGTTTTGCGACCACCTAACCCCTGCCTAACTAGTCATTTATTTTTGTTTTTTTCCCTTTTGATAAACTAATTTTCTTTGCTATTATTTGATCAGCCATTACATTATTTGTTTTATCAAAGGACAAAGAAGTATAATGACGACACGTACGTACTGTACAAGGAATGATAAAATAACCCCATTCGGGGTTTAAAATGTTCTATTTCGTCTTTACGATTATTAACATTAATTTTACGTACGTAAGCTGAAATTTTAGCATACAAAAAGTTGTATGCTACAGAGTACATTGAGATTAGGTTAAGTTTACTTCTTTTAATATCTGACAATTTTTATTCCTCTTTAAACATGTTTGAGTCAATCTAAATAATTTATCATCGTATTTACAGTACATTTATATTAATTTATACATCTACAAACGATATTCTGTAGAATTTAACTGCTTCTCAGTCTTGTTCAAAAGTTTGTTGTGTCTAAGTTTCACAATTGTACGAGTGATTGGTGCGTATATGTTTTAATATATCAAATGTAGCCGTCGTTTATTTATCATGTACTTGTTTTTTGATAATGACAGAAGTTGTGCGATGTCTGACACCTGTTTACATTACCTAACGGAACAGGACGGAAGCAACTTTCATTGCGAATCCAGTAAACGGCACGTTCAATAATTTTCATTTGAATTTTATGCTTTTCTGAAATAAAGAGATCAATGCGGCAATCCACTGGCGGTACACAAGCCAGTTTATTGGCTCTATCAAAAACCTTCTATATAAGAGAGAATCGTTATTCTATCATTTCCCTTACAGTTACTGTAACAGTTGAAGATTAGAGTTCAGAGATCCAGTAGAGATCCTTAAGGGGTAAAAGACGCCACAGGATTGCCTTGAGAAGATTTGACAAGAGAGGGAATATACAGTAGGAATAAAAGAAGTCTCTCTGCAACAAAAATCTATACTTAGGCAGAATATACTAAGCTGCATAGGCTACTTAATAAGCTATATGAATGAACAATTTAAATAATGTATCGTTCTAATCTTTAGAACGTAAAATAACATTTCACTATCCGTAAACCAACTACATACTCCATACTGCAATGTGACGAAAATTAAACAGATCTTGGTAAATTTAAACATAAAATTAATTCAAGTTTGGAAATACAATTTTGTCTTTATGATTTTTACACGAGGGTCCCCCAGGATGTAATGCTTCATATTATTTAAAAAATATTCAAACAGGAAAACTGTGAAACTGTGCTGTTAGATCATCTAAATATCCCTACAGAACCCCGTGGCAATTAGTCGTCAGATCACGTTTTGACATGAAAGTATGGAGCATCACTTTCTGAAAGCACCTAGTAAATACAAATAGCTTACGTGATGTACAGTATTTTTACAGGATGAACTAATAATGTTAGTAAAACAGAAATACAGGTACTTCCTACAATTAGAGCTCATTCAAATTTAACCACTAGGTAGACTGTAACATTTTGAAGTTTATCACTTATTTCACCAGTGGATATATCATTAAATGTGAAATATGAGCCTCTGTGTAACTCAAATAGTCTATTTCATAAAGTCTTTATCACGATGTCCTTGTGTGAACTGGATGATTTCAAGAAAACTGTCATTCAAACTTAAAGGAAAATTGTAGCACAATAAAATATGAACTCCATAGGTCTATAGTCTGGAAAGCAAAGCTGAAAACTGTTTTTGTAATGGAGGATATCGATGCCCATACTATTTTATAGTTTTAAGGGAATGTTAAGCAGCATTAAGACATTTATTATGTCTTGTACATTAATAAACACAGAAACCTCTATTAAAAAAATCAGGTATAAACAGACTAGTTAACCAAGCAACACCTTACTTTTAAGGATTTGTTTTGTATGACACAGTGAATTTCTTATCCCAGTAATATGGCAGACGTACACATTTTTATAGGACTAGAATCATTCTGCTTTCTACTGCCTGTGGTTTCTGAAGATAATTTTATTGCATCTTAGATGCCTTTAAATTCCAGCAGCCATAAGTCACCTCCATAAAAGCCTAGTTTTTAATTCGGATCCAATTTATCCTCAAACCTTAGTCAGTAGCGTATGTTCCTTCAGGCCACAGTGGGATATGTTCCTTGCCTACATCAGATCAATTAGCTATTAGAAGTACCATTATCCCTGTTTTAAATCGGATAATATTAATGTTTGGTGTCAATTTTCTGGTAATTAAATGGGATGCTTCTCCTTAGAGAGAATTAAAGTTGGAAATGAACAGAAATAAATTCCTTAATGCTTGTTGATTACTACAGCATTATGATGGGAGTTGGACCAGCCTGCAGCTTAATGTATGAATCAAAACATTGTATTTGGATTCAGAATCCTACTAATGTAGTGCTGTTATTCCATCTTTAAGAACTTAATCTACATTGAATGCCTTATTTTTTCAGGCATCTTACTTTACAAATAAAGATTTTTCACCGATACTTCACATATATTTTTAAAGATTCGAGAACTTTCCTTTTTTAGTTTATAGTTCAGACCCATATTGGTAATTTAAATATCTATAACAGTTTTAATTTCACAAGTAACCTTTATCAAATTCACAAAACGTTATACTGTATATGAATACAACAACATCCCCTCAAAAAAACTTGTCATTGTTGGTGAATAATTAAATAGGTAAAGAGACTGAATGTAACCGTCTAAAAACGCATGAAAGAGTTTATAAGAAATACTTGAATAATGTAACTCCACCAGAAAAGAATTGGATTAAATGTTTTTGCCAGTTAATAATTAATTTCGCTGTGCAGTTATCTGTCACCTTCTGGGACAATGTAATACATTTGGAACAACAACACCAGGCAGGAGTAAAACATTTATAAAAAACACTTTTTTATGTTTCCTTGCTTTAGATTGAATGCCAGATTACACCATGGATCAGAAATCCCAAGTTTCTTTCTTTATTTGCCTGTTAATTAAGAGATCATACCCTTACTGTAAATAGCAGGATTCACATTCCATTTCACATGAGTTATATTATGCACATAGCACATTTTATATTACTATTTAAAAAAGCAATTTATACAGGTCTGCCACCTTATCAATTATCTCACAGTGAAGGGCCAAACACCCAAACTCCAGTCCATTTCCAATACACTGGGCCACCCAATTCCAGTCCCTGGCTGGACTAGCACACCTGCTGGCTTTTATCCCATTTGAACTTTCAGTTTTTAGTTGAAGCATTAACTTAACTTGTAAGTTGCTTATTCACATCTTTTCAAGACTTTCCATGAACTTGAAAATCTGAAATGTTAGTTTATTTGTAAACAGCAATAGTTAAAAGTAAGCCTGCCACATGTTTAAAAGCTGCAAATGAGGTAACTGACAGCTCACCTGGAAGATAAAATGAACAGGTACTGGGGTCTGAAGGTCTAGTATTAGAATCCCCAACAGCTCTGGGAAGTTTTCATTAGGAGCGTACTGTGTGATGTATAAGAACAAAATACCCTATCCAACAATGCCCTTGTTGTGTTTTAAGAAATATATTTTTAACTATTAATGCAAGGCCTGATTTTAGTTACAGTATATGTTTCTGGGTTGTTACATTGTATTGCAGGAAATATTTGAATAAGATGTGCTATGTGTGTCCAGGCACAGGTTTGGAGCTACGTGAAAACAAGTTTCTACCTCTCTCAACATATTACCAAGCAATAGTCTTCAGCATTTGTTGAGAAAGTTTATTGCAGAATAAACTACCCCTAAATCTTTTCTCTACCCCATTAGTTCTATGTTAAGCATATCCTGAAGCACAAACAGAAACATAACCATGTATGAATTATTCCCTTTGAAGTAGGAAAGGGTGATTCAGGTTTGATTATGCTTATCATTTGTTTGGTTTTATATAAACAGGTGCAACAAAAGGAAAACAAAATATGTTTTTCAACGCAATCATTCCCTTTTGATCTTAAAAGAATGAAGTGTTCTAATACAGTACTTTTGGCTTATATGCTAATGTTGTTCTGTCTTTCTCTAAAAGACCTCTTTACAGAAGAGGAAAAAAATGGAAAAGAATTACTTTTGTTCTAGAGCTGAACGACATCAATTATTGTGTGCTGACAGTTTCACGCTGTTTTTTCTGTGAACAAACAAAGAAAGCATGGTTTACTAGTAGGACTCCCTGGGTATCCTGAAAGCAAAATGATACTTTTCTGTCCGTACATAAACAGAATCCAGTTTAACATCCAACAGCGCGTTCTCTTAGACAAGCCTCTGTTTATGTGTGTTTTATGAATTGCTGTCTTACATTGATTTTCCCTTTCTTTTTCGCTGATATTCCACTA